GTATTGTAATTGGTCTGCAGCAGACATATGGCACAACAACCACTACAGCTTGTGGTTTTTGCACATAAGCGAGACCTTGATGAAGTCCCTACACACACACACACACACACACACACACATATGAAAAATGAAATATGGTCTCTCACCCACTTTGGAGAACCACTGATATGCACTTGGAAACGTGACTGGTTTTCTGCTATCTCATCAGGAATTTAAAAATGTGTATATATATTTCTGTGAATAACTGTTGCGAATTGAAGAAGGTTTCATCAGAGGGTAGATGTTTAATTTCCTTTCCCTTCTGGGAACCATTTATCTTCCAGGATTACTTGTTCCTTTCAGAGATTACATATTAATTAGATGGCGGCAAGACTGACCTCATGAAAATGCAACAGTTCCACAGTTGTTCTCCTGAGCTGGCTGCATAATGTTTAAAATCTATATTGAACCATATGGTGGGGTGTTCTATTACGACTGTCCTTTTGATGGGCAGTCCATTTGAAGCCTGTTCTTTGACTTTGTGAGCCAGGAACTCTGTTAAATCCCCCAACCCTCATCCACTTTGACTTGTAATGGTACATGAAAGAGCATCCAGCAAGTTCCCTTGAATTTCGTCCACTGTTATTTGGCAATAATTGAGTGTTTGGGTTTGAAAACAACAGCAGCTCTGACAACTGAATATCCCTGTGGTAGTCAGTATAGAGTGCCCACCATGCCAGCCACAAGTGTAAGCAGTACATAATCCACTCACACTCACACACACACATGGATGGAAAGGTTGGTTTGGACATCCAATACAAGCCTCCCTACCAAAAGGAAAAAAATCTAATGAGCAAGAAAAATTCTAGATTAATGATCTTTTTTTTTTCATGATTTCTAGGTTACCCACTAGAGTAAGACCATTGTAGAATGAAACCGTGATCATCTTCCCAGCTGTGAAAGCAGTGTATCAGTCCTCCTGAATGCCATGCTAGCGAAATTTCTAGTTAGCTCTGGCATTCCCATTCATGACCTGGTATTGTGAGTTGGCCTCAGTGATGGCCAAAGTGATCATTCATAGGTTAGCAGGCTGGTCTTAATTACTGGAATAAGACTGTTTGGCACACACACCATTCTCCTCTTACTATGGCAGCACTGATAATATCTAAAATTAAGTGGCAAGAAAACTAGTCACAAAACTAGTCACAAAAAATACTAGAGTTTACTAGCCAGTTTGGTTTAATGGTTAAGTGTGCAGACTCTAATCTGGGAGAACGGGATTTGATTCCCCACTCCTCCACTTGCAGATGCTGGATGACCTTGGGCAAGCCATAGTTCTGTCAGAGCTGTTCTTGAAAGAGCAGTTCTCGAAAGAGCTCTCTCAGCTCCACCTACCTCACAGGGTGTCTGTTGTGGGGAGGGGAAGGGAAAGGAGTTTGTAAACCACTCTGAGACTCCGAGAGAAGGGCGGGGTATAAATCCAATCTCCTTCTCCTCCCCCTTCTTCTTCTAGTGACAAGTTTAAGCTTCCAACATTACTTTGTACAGTATTACTCTGTTGGCTTATCCAGCTAGTTTTCTGATCAGGTGCTATGATGTAATGTCAGAGGTATAGAAATGTCCTGGAGAAAGTCACACTCATTCCCCCAACGTTATTTTACAGGAGCTCCGCTATACTGAAGAAGAATTGTACCGGACAAAGAATACATTGCAAAGTCGAATATCAGACAGAGAAGAAGAAATTCAGAAGCTTAGAAACCAGGTAACGGTTTACTGCCAGCAGGGATCTGCTTGCAGAACAGATTGTTCACACCTCCCCCGTCTTCTGCTCCTTCCGTGCTGCTGAAAAAAACAGTTCAGGGAACCTTTGGGAACAATGAAGTATGGAGAGCCTGAGGACTGCTACTCAAGTGGAAAATCCACGGAACTTGCAGAACCAGCTCCCCTTCCTTCCCGGTGACACAACATCTTCCACTCGTGGAAGAATACCTTTGCATCACTTGCATCACTTCAGCCTACCCTGTTTAGGTGAGGGAGGGGCGGCAGGCCAGCAGCCATGGGGCGTCCACTCTTAAGGGGCCGCTCTAGGCTGTTGCCTAAAATTCTCTATGACAGGCCAGCCCTGCTAGTGAGGCAAGGAGACTCTGGGGAAGGAAGATCCATCTCCCCGAGCACATTGTGCTGGCAGCTGGTAAAATAGAATCCTTTATCACTGCATAGATAGTTCTGTGGTGCAGAAGGCATTGAGTTTGTGGGCTGGATCTAGCTAGATTTTTCAGTCATAAGAACATAAGAGATGCCAATGTTGGATCAGGCCAAAGGGTCACACAGTGGCCAGAAATACCAGGTGCCATCAGGAGATCCACCAGTGGGGCCAGGACATTAGAAGCCCTCCCACTGTTGACCCCCCCCCAAGCACCAAGATGACAGAGCATCACTTGCCCCAGAGTCCCTATCTATACCTTGTGGCTAATATCCACTGATGGACCTCTGCTCCATATGCCTATCTAATTCCCTTTTGAAGCCGTCCATGCTTGTAGCCGCCACCACTTCCTGTGGCAGTGAATTCCATGTGTTAATCACTCTTTGGGTGAAGAAGTACTTCCTTTTATCCGTTCTAACCCGGCCGCTCAGCAATTTCATGGAGTGCCCACGAGTTTTTGTATTGTGAGAAAGGGAGAAAAGTACCTCTTTCTCTACCTGCTCTTTCCCATACATAATCTTCTAAACCTCAGTCATGTCACCCCTCAGTCATCGTTTCTCCAAGCTAAAGACCCCCAAGCGCTTTAACCTTTCCTCATAGGGAAAGTGTTCCAACCCTCTTATCATTCGAGTTGCCCTTTTCTGCACTTTTTCCAAAGCTATAATATCCTTTTTAAGGTGTGGTGACCAGAATTGCACACCATTGATTTATATAGGGGCATTATGATATTGGCTGATCTGTTTTTAATACCCTTCCTAATAATCCCCAGCATAGCATTGGCCTTCTTTATTGCAGTCACACCCTGTCTCGACATTTTCAGTGAGTTATCTACTACATCTCCAAGATCTCTCTCTTGATCAGTCTCTGCCAGTTCAGACCCCAACAACGTGTATTTATATTTAGGATTTTTGGCTCCAATGTGCATCACCTTGCACTTGGCCACATTGAACCCCATTTGCCACGCTGACGCCCACTCGCCCATCCTCGACAGATCCCTTTGGAGTGCCTCACAATCCTCACTGGTTTTCCCCACCCTGAACAACATCCGCAAATTTAGCCACTTCACTGCTTACTCCCAACTCCAAATCATTAATGAACAAGTTAAAAAGCATCAGACTGAGTACTGATTCCTGTGGTACCCCACTGCTTACCCCCCTCCACTGAGAGAACTCTCTGTTTACTATTGATTAGCCAGTTTGTGATCCATAAAAGTCAATCACACCCAGTTCCCCATCCCACATTGGTTCCATTATCCCCAGCATGTCCTTTTTTGGTGGGTCAGTGGGGATTCCTCCTTCCTTTCTTTGTCAGGAAAAGAGCTAGTTGTATCCAACCTTATGGGGTGGCTCCTCCCTCTCCTCTGAGCAACGTTTGATGTGGCGGAAGAGTCACTGAAGTTAGAGGGAGCTTCCTGAGACTGAAGGGGAGGGCACCTTGGAGAACAGTTGGATCCGTCCCATTTGTCCAAAGTTCTTGAATTATTCTCTGAGGCTGCATAAGCTTAGTTTCAAGCAGATCTAGGTATGCATTGTTACAGCCATCATTTGTCAAGCCTTGCTTCTTCAGGAGATGTACAAAGAGGAAACCAGTTTATGTAAATCATCTTGATTTTACATCCGTTTACACTGTACTGTACCATCTCTTCTTGTGTTTTCCTTCCAGCTAACCAACAAAACACTGAGCAGCAGTAGTCAGTCTGAGCTGGAAAACAGGCTACATCAGCTGACAGAAACACTAATTCAGAAACAGACCGTGCTGGAGAGTCTCAGCACGGAAAAGAACTCCTTGGTCTACCAGCTGGAGCGAATGGAGCAGCAGCTGAAGGCTGTCCAAGGCAATTCAGCAAACGGTCCCTCCATTAACATGCCTGGAATTGACAGCAGTGAAGGTAAAGAGCCAGCGAGAGCCAGTGTGATGTAGTAGTTAGGACTGTAGACTCTAATCTGGGAGGACCGGCTTTGATTCTCCACTCCTCCACATGCAGCTGCTGGTGTGACCTTGGGTCAGTCACAAGTTCTCTCAAAGCTGTTCTCTCACGAGGAGTCCACAAAAGAGCTCTCTCAGCCCCACCTGCCTCAAAGGTATCTGTTGTGGGGAGGAGAAGGGAAAGAAATTTTAAGCTGCTCTGAGACTCTGGGTGAAGGGCAGGGTATAAATCCAATTTCTTCCTTTTCTAAAGATGGAGAGATTAGAACAGCCGGTGCCCTTGCAGCCATTTTAGCCAAATAAAGAAGGCTAAAAATGGTTTAAATTAATTGTTGTATTTTACATACATTGACTGAAGCCATATATAGCCTGGGATCTTGCCTAAAAGCTTCACTAATGGAAAGATTTCTGACCATGAAGCACAACAACATCCATATTTCCCACCCTGTAGCCCCAAATGACCCCCACAATGCTACCTCTGGGATTCAGGGGACCCCCAGGAATAGCTGGGAGATGGATTTAGAGGTCATTTGTCATAGGATGGAGGAACTGGTGAAAATCACATCTTCCTCCTCCCTTTATGCATGTAGAAATGCATAAAGAAAGAAAAGGGTTGGTCTGTTCCTACTCTGTGTTGAATTTGCATACCTATCCATGCAACTCTGTGTCTTGGATTCTATGAAGGATTCCTGCGTGCACGCTAGATGAGTCTTTGCCATGCAGAATGTTTCCATTCTGCCTGACCGTCCGTTTGTGCAAGATCGTTGGTCTTCCGTGGACCCTTGTACAGCTGGAAATTTTACAGAAAGAGGACGCATTCTCTGTGGCAGAAACTATATAAGCATACACAATCATTCATAGGATCTAAGCCTTTGTCATCTACTGCACTGTGACCAGATGTGGTGTTCAATCCTGTCCAGGCCTCAAATGCCACAGAAAATGGCCAGGTAAATCAGGAATGTTACTGCATAGAGTTAATTATGCTATACACTATGCACAAGGCAGTACCTGTATAATCTGATCTTCTGTGAAGATTGCAGAAGAAGGAATTGACCCATGTATTTCTGCTGCTGAAGGCACTGCTGTGGCTGCCAATAGCATACCGAATTTGCTTCAAGGTGCTAGTAATTACCTTTAAAGCCCTATATGGCCAAGGTCCGACATACCTGAGGGACCGCCTTTCCCCATACATACCCCAGAGAGCACTCCGGTCGGGGTCACAACATTGGCTAACTACCCCAAGGCCCTAGAGATGCCAGGCTCACTGTTGCCAGGGCCTTTTCGGTGGCAGCCCCTACCTGGTGGGATGAGCTCCTGGAGGAGATCAGGGACCTGTGGAACCTGGTACAGTTCCGTAGGGCCCGCAAAACGGAGCTCTTCCACCAGGCTTTTAACTAGGAGCCGCCCACCACTACCACCAACTATTACTGTCATTAACATCATGGTAATAGGTTGGGCCCTTTTTGAGATCGAGCCACAGCGCCGTGAGAGGCCGAAGTTCCATTAAATCGGGACCATAGTATCACACCTTAGTGTATGCCACCTCAAACTGATTGAAGAACGACTGCGAGCACTTCTTGTATTTAAATTGTATTTAATGCCTATTTATGGTATGACTGTTTTATTTTGTTTTAAATGTTTTATGCTAATGTTGGCACATGGTGCCGCCAATTGTGAGCCGCCCTGAGCCCGTTCGCGGGGAGGGCGGGATATAAATCCAATTAATAAATAAATAAGTTGTCAGCATGTCCAAAATGCTTTTCAGGGGTTTAAAACTTTTCCTCTGTTTCTGAAACATTGTCATTTGGAAGAAAGTGCCATGTTGATTAATGTTTCCAGGGTTCTAATATCTAATCTGAGGAGATTTTAATAACAGCCTTTAAGAAATCATGAACATTTCAATTTAATTGCAGTCAGCTGCTTAGTAATTGTGTAGTAAAAAAATTGCTCACACTACTTAGTTTGCAGTTCATAAGTGCTTTTTACTGTATGTTTTTTGGGAGAAACTTTTAGCATTTAACAATTTGATTTGATGTGTGTGGTTTTTTTTTTAACAACCCCCCCTTTTAATTATGCACAATCCGTAACTAGATTTAACCCCATCCCTACTGTTTGAAGCTACCAGAGATGATAGAATCTTATTTATGTGTGGCTGAAAGCATGCATCATTGAATTGGGGTGGATTTTAGTTGGAGTTGTCCCCAGCAAGCCACTTCATTACTCATTCCAGTGTACTTTTCTTGATGCACAGTGAGTTACAGCGTGTTCCAAAGAATGGGAAATCGTTTTTTTTTAAAGCCAAGGGTCATTTTAATTTCTGTAGAATTGTAGGATCGGAAGAATCTTCAAGATAATCTGCTCCAGCAATCTGTAAAGCTTGAACCTGCATGCACCAGCTAATGTCTGCCAAATTGACAAATCTGATCCCATCTGGGCTGGTGTACAACCAACCAGAGTTTAGGAACCTTCAGACTAGGAACGTTCATGACATCAAGCCAGGTGGCTTGAGCAAGGTGTCTCTAAAACAGCTTCTCTGTTCAAGTGCGGACCTGAGATGTATGTATCTAACTGCTGGTCTCTGTCGAGATAGTGATTAGTTAAAACACTAGTTTCAGTAAACTCCCCCCCCCCCCCATGGCTTTTCCAGTCAGTAGATATTGTGCTATTGTAATCACTGGTCTTCTGACCTTTGCTGTCTAGACACATTTACGATAGCACAGTTCTAGATATTAAATGGATCCAGTCCAGTAGCTGCCACAAAGACCGAAGCCACTGTACCAAGAGTACAGTCAACCACAGTGGGAGCAAGTCTCTTCTTTATGCACTCCAACCACCCTCCCAGCACATGTTGGATTTAATATTGAGCCTCAACTAATCCGAAGGACTTCCCTCACTCACAGCAATCTGCCTGACCTTTGAGATTAAGGGGTGGGGGAGGGCTTCCTGCAGGAACCCACATTGCATGAGGTTCTGTTACCAGGAATTCACAGGAGGGCCTTTTCAGCTGCTGCCCCTAAACGGCAAAACTCCCTCCCCTAGAAGGGCGAGATTAACACCTGGAGACCTTCTGGAGTGGGTTAAAAATGTTTTTTTTAATTCCAGTAAGGTCTTGCAGCCTGATAGGCCAGCCTAGCCCTTATCTCATCAGAGCTGTGAAGCTAAGCTGAGTACTTGGACAGGAGACCACCGAGGAAGACCCAGGTTGCTATGCAGAGGGAGGCAAGGGCCAAAACACCTCTGACCTCTGCTCATCTCTTGCCTTGAAAACCTCCTGGTCATGGGGTCACCATAAGTCGGTTGCGACTTGACAGCACAAAAAGGGTCTTGGAATGAGCTGCTGGAGGTTGTGGTTCTTGCTGTTTTCATGAAGCCATTTGGTTCTTTTGACACCGTCTTTTAAAAATCTGTATTTTGTGTGTCTGTTTGTGTATGTCTTTGTATTTTGTGTGTTCTGTGCAGCAACTAACTAAACCAGGATCTTTGTCTGGCCTTCTGTCTCCTCTTCCAGTCATGGATGGATTGTGAGGTTGAGAAGATACCAAGGGTGTGTGCACAAGAACTCGGCACATGATCCCTTTGTTGCCATGTTGTTACCACTTGTTCAGGGATTTTTCTCCTGGCACTACATAGCCTGCAGGCCAGTTTACAGAAATGTCAGTGAACTCTTAAAAACCTATGTAGGGGTGATTAATATGTTGGTTTTCTGTTGCTTATTATTTATGTAGTGAATTTGTATGTCGCCTCTCCAGAGACCTGGCACTAATTATTATTATTATTATTTTTAAAAAACCCTTTATCTAGGCACTCGTATGCGAAATGTTCCTGTCCTTTTTAGTGATATCGACGTTAATGTGGCGGGGATGTATGGCAGAGTCCGCAAAGCTGCCAGCAGTATAGACCAGTTCAGGTGAGGAAATGGTACCATTGTGGGCTTTGTTTTTTCTCCTGTAAGCAAAGGGGGAGGGGCTCTGGCTCCGTGGTGGAGCATCTGGTTTGCATGCTGAAGATCCCAGCTTCGGTTCTTATTATCTCCAGTCAAAAGGATCAGATAGTAGGTGATGTGACAGACCTTGACCTGAGATGCTGGAGAGCTGTTGTCAGTCAGAGTAGATGATAGGTACTGTGCCAGACCAATGGTATGACTTGGTAGAAGACAGATGCTTCATTTTATAGGCTTACTTTGGCTTTACTCCTGTCAGAAGCTGGTATGTCAATGCTGTGTTCTTCACCTGCCTCCCTTTTCTAGTTCTCTCTCAGTGTAGCAGTTGATGTTGACTTGGGGGGGGGGGATCAACTTTATTGGCCATTTCTCAAGGCTGTTTGATAATTTATCGAAAAAGAATCCATCAGTTGCGTTTCTTAAATGAATAGTACTCTGCAGAAACTTGCATTACTCCATTTTACTAATGGAGTAAAATCTGCGGTAAGGCCTGGTTGGGGCTGGAGATGGTGGCAGAGCCTACAGATGGCACCGCTTCTGTGGATTCCCCCCCCCCCCCCCAAATTTCCCCCCACTCTGTCCCACCAACTCCTCCTGCGAGCTTTTCCACTGGACTAGACTTCAACCATTGTCTTCCGTAATGCATATACTGGGAGGGATGTGGTTTTTTGCATCATGCTCAGTATAACACAGAAGTGAAGCACTGAAATTACTACACCTTTCTGGCATTACTGTGCTTGCCTTCTCTCCCTCCTGCTTCCTACATGTTGTGGCATATTAAAGCTTTCCTATTTTGTTAATAATGATGTGGAATCCTCCATTTTGAATTTTTATTTTGAAAGTGGCCCGTGGCCCGTTTGAGGAAGCCCCCCCCCCGCTTCTAGTTTTGCAGAATGTGCAGAACAGACTTGTTCAGGTGGGCATTCTTATAAAGGGAGCAAAACTACAGTGAAATGGATCAGCTCAGGAGGGGTAGTTTCTATAAGGAATAAACTTTTCCTACGTTGATTGTTTTGTAACCTTAGACAAGAGTTCTTCTGTTCTCAGCCTCATTGCAATAATTTGTTTTACTAAGAATCTTGTGGTTAGATTGAATTGTTTTATACAAGGGATAAATGTTATCTATATTGATTGTTTCATTGCTTTAAACACAGCTTTTGTTTGTTTTGTTTTCCCAGTTCTTCAGTCCCAGTCTCACTGCATCATTTTGTTTTATGAAAAATCCTTGCTGATAGACCAAATTATTTTGTTATCCTTTGTGCTCTGCTCACTGATTGACTGAATATTCTTTCTCATGCCTCTAATCTGCCCGGGTCCAATGCCTTATTCTGTTTTACCAGGAATCCTTGCTGTTAGACTCGGATGTTTTTACAATACTTTATAATTTGCTTGAGAATTGATGTAATAGTTTGGATTGTATTTGTAATCCTCCTCGAGTCCCAGTGAGAAAGGGGGACTGTAAATGGAGATAATAGTCATAGCTAGGAAGATTTAGATTGCTGTATGCATCAGTCGGAACAAAAATCGAGTGCTGAAGGCTTGGCTTTTATTGAAGGACATAAATAGCATCCAGAAAAGAACTAAGGGATTAATTTTTGCCATGAAGCAAAACACAAGAAAAGAAATATTTCTTTCTCTAATGCTATATTTATCTTGGCTACAGCATTCGATTAGGAATCTTTCTACGACGGTATCCCATTGCAAGGGTGTTTGTAATCATTTATATGGTGAGTTTGTTTGATTTACTGAAGAGTGTTGCGTCTTTTTGTCTCCCTTTTATCGTCTGTAATCTTGATCTGACAGGCAGCGAGTGGCATCCATAAGAAATGGGCTATAATTAAGTTTAGCATTTTGGCACGCTTCATAAGGAGATTACACAGCCCTGATCTTGGAGGAGTTGAGCAGCACATCAGATGTTAGCATGACTTTATGTTGTAGCTGTACAAACCATTGTGTGTATCAGTGCAGCTGTACTTGTGACTGCATCTCCCAGACATCAAAAGAGCTTAAAAGTTCCATAGTTTGCTTCTGTGAAAGTAAAGGGGGTGGTGGTGGAGCACGGTATCAGTGGTTTCCTTGTTGAATGACACTTGTTCGTTTATTTACTTTATTTATATCCCACCTTCCTCATCACTGGGGACCCAAAGTGGCTTACATCATTCTCCTCTCCTCCATTTTGTCCTCACGAACAATCCTGTGGGGTAGGTGAGGCTGAGGGTGTGTCACCCAGCAAGCTTCCATGGCACAAGTGGGGATTCGAAGCTGGGTTTTTCCACATTTGAGTCTGACACGTTAACCCCCTGGCAGGGTGGAAAAACTGTCAGAGAGGTTCGCACAACACCCCACCGTGCCTTGCAGGGTCAAAGCTGGTCTCATGTTGTCCAGTGTCAACCTGCTTCATGTACAGTGCTATCCTGGACCATGTGCGCCAGCACGCTAGTTCTGTTCATGTTTTGAGTGTTCAGTACAGTCATAACATAAGAAGAGCCCTGGCTGGATCAGACCAGTGGTCCATCTAGTCCAGCATCTGGTCTCACACAGCGGCCACCAGTTCCTCTAGAGGGCCAATAATGAGGCATAGAGGCCAGGTCCTTCCCCTGATGCTGCCTCCTGGCACTGGGATTCGGAAGTTGACATGGTTAACATGAGACAGATTTGAGGTGAACATTGGGGCAGATTCGACAAGCCTCAGCAATGCCTGGGGGGGTCACTTGTTACAGGATTGCAGGATTCTGTCTGTGAAGTGTGCCTTTTATAAATCTGGTGTTCCCAGATCAATGGTTGCATGCCGTCTGTACAGCTAGAGTTTTTGCTGCTGTGGGGACCCCCAAAAAAGAATGTGGGTCAGATCCTGTGGAGAAATATTTGCTGATTCCCCTCTCCTATATCAGCCCTCTGACTCTCCCTTCATCCTGGAGCTGTTATCTTGTCCCTCTGGGATCAGTATTTCCAGGGGGCATTTTGGTTTGCAGTGGGGGAGGAACATGAGTAAATCATGCTTCACTGACAGAAAACCTTCCATCAGCAAGTATTTCTGTCAGGATCCAGGCTTGTACCTGTTTTTATTTCTTGAGTGAAGGGGGGGGATCCAAAACAGCTGTCAACTTCCCACCATTTTCCACTAGAGGGAAGAGAAGTCTGTGGTTAACTGAGGTAAATTATATAGTTACATAAGAAATCCCTTTTGTACGGCTTCACTACTGAAATATTCCCAGTGCTAAAATCATACACTTCAAGGCTGTAAAACTACCTCTCTTGAAAAAACACGCTGAGGTTATAGGGGTGCCATTTTTCTGGGCTGCAAGATAGTGAGGTGCTGCAGGGGACCAGAACCAACACTTCAGGCTGACCCTTTCATCCAGCATCTTTTCTCCCTGCTAGCTCTGAATATTAAATCAAATGGACTCTGTAAATTTCCCTCCACTGTTAAAATTATTCACAGCCCCTCTGCCCCACAATCAGTGGCTTTTTAAGAGTCACAATTCTCAGACTAATATCTAAGCTCAGTTGGCATCTGCAGCGTGAATCAGCAGGGCATCAGCCTTTCTCCCGATCTAATCTGCAGTCTCTTCAGCCATCATTGTTGCTTTCTCCAGGAGCCTCGCGCCAGGGTCACTGTGCATTTTGAAAGGCTTTTCGGAACATGTCAGGAAGGAAGCTTTTTCCTGGGCAATCATGCAAAGCCTTTGTCATGACAAAATTGAGTGTATGTGCTCTTGGTTTAGGTGGAAATAAAAAGTCAGAATTTGGGGGAAGGGGTTTCACAGAAAGTGTTTGTCATAGACTTTGGCAAAGATCCTGTGCTCACACAGCCTCCCATTGGCCATTGCAGCAAGTAGATAAAGACCTGGTATCGTGTGGAGCAAGTGGTGTGTTGAACTTTGGGGGAGAGATCAGATTTTAAATCCTCACTCAGCTCTGAAATGTGCTGAGTAGTCTTGGGCCAGTCACTACAGGTTGGATCCAGACTAAACATTCTGCTAACGGAAGGGGTGGGGTGGGGGTAACGTCCGCTATTTCCCGCCTCCTGCTGCAGACCCCTGATTTCCCCCTCATGCTGTTTCTAAGGGGCCCGTGTGCCCCGTGAACAGCATTCCAGGATGATCAGTGGGCTGCAGCCGGGGGGGAGGGGCGCAGAAAAATTCTGTTCCACTGTCAGAAGTGCCTTGCATAGGCAGAAAACGTAGTCTGGATTCAGGCTTAAGTCAGCCTAACCTGCCTCACATGGTTGTTGTAAGGATAAAATAGGATGATCCCACCTGTGCATATGTGAGTTCTTTAGAGAGAGAATGGAATACAAACATGATAGTTTATGTGACTGTGTGATGCTTCGCCCTCCCCCCAGTTATTGCCATCATGGGAAGAACCCTGTTTGCATGTATGAGGCTTCACCTCAAGCATGTAGCTCAGTGCTGTGCTCAGTGGATGGGAGTAGCCCCTGCTTGTGTGGTGCTCCTTATGGACCTTGGAGCCCTGTGGGGCTCTGGATGGGGAGGTTTTTGCTGCTGATGGTTTCGTTGCCATTCACTGACTCTCATTTCTCTTGTTACTAGGTGTTGCTTCACCTGTGGGTCATGGTGGTTCTCCTTACCTATACTCCAGAGATGCATCACGACAATCCAAGCGGGAACTAAAACACGACCCTGGAACAGCACTCACCCCAAGGATTAATAAAGTTTTTACTGCTGGTGTATTTAAAGCAACTGATTTCTCTGGAAAGGGAAAACTTTGAAGAACAGGACAGCTGCCATGTCTGTTCTGTTGCTGCTTGGGCAAACTTAAATTATTTGGCAGACATTCTGAGTTCCTTTCACTTCCATAAAGCAAAAGCAGTTTCCTTGATAAAAGGCTGCTTGAGTGAACTCCGTTCTATTTTCATCATTCTCCTCTAAGGGTACATGCACATCAGCACATGTACACCTGCAGAGTGCAGATGTACAAGCTGTATTCTCAATCCTATAGGAAACGGGCTGTAATCAGGGAAATTAATTATGCTTAGAAGCTGAAATAAACTATTCCCCCCCCCCCCCGTTACTACAGTTGTTTCTACACCTTTTAACTGTGTAAATATACAAATTCAGCTTTTCTTTAACGCATACATTTCTGGCAGATCTGACAGCTGTTTGGTGGCATTTATCTTTTCTGTAAATAGCTTTAAGAAGAGAAATAAAAATATATATTCCGTTAATTTGGGTCCTTCGACATGCTAGAAGCGTATCTTCCAGGGTAATGCAGAAGGGTTGGTATTTTTAAACTGTATATTTTAATAGTCCTGTATAGCTGTGTACATCTAGAACTGTGAGACTGGGAGTGCCTTTGTTCTTGGCATCTCTGAGAGTGCCCCTTTGCTGCCTTATTAAAAACATTTCATGTCTTCAGAGATTCATGGTATTGTGGGCATTTTAATCTAAGGAAATATACGCAGATTCAAATGAGGCTTGGCTTCATAAACATGTTGAACATTCCTGATCAAAAGAGGCTTCTGGATGACAGTGAAAAGAGCAAGCTAATTCAAAACTGTTTTAAAACACCATTGATCCCATGCAATCTTATATAGCATCTCACATCTGTGAACTATTGATCGGCCGATGCAAGTTTGCTAAGGCCATTTGACGCATTCTCTCATTAAGAGGAGACTACTTTCTCCCTCCCCCCCCCCGCCCCCGCCCCCACAAAGGGGGGGGAGGAGGGGGGAGGCACAGTCAGGCAGGAGAACTGGAGCTCTTGGGCAACAGCGAGGCAGGCCTCAAGGGTACAATTGTACAGTGTGAGCACAGATATTGGGCATACAATATTGATATTGGCCATAAAGTTCTGCATCTGGAAAACCTCAGCTCTCATTTTTCAGGAAGGGAGTTTAATTAGGCTCTGCCTCTCCTTCTAGCACTCAGTGCAAAGCTTTACCACTCACCGCTGCAGATGTAAGCTTTGTAATACGTGGCTGTACTCTCTGAAATCTCAGAGTTAGGCAGGGGGGTCTGAGCAGGATTGCAAAGAATGAGGGGTTCGTGTTTGTGACGCCCTTCTCCACTCACACAGAGTGCCTACCACCTTCAGCAAACCCCCCCCCCCTCAGGTTCAGGGTTATCGGTAGGTTAGGACATCGCATCACAAGCTACCCTTCTCGTCTCTTAATACACAGAGAATCTGAAAACAGCTTTGGCTCATTTGTTGCAAGGGCCGGGTCTGACATAAATGTCACTTTGTTGGGCCAGGCCGTGTGTGCCATAAAATGTAATGCCAAGTTTTAAACGGAGATATGAAGTTTATAAAAGACACAGGCAAACCCAATGAATGATATTTTTTCACTCAAAATACAAATATGCTTTAAGATAGTAACACTCTTACGGTATTTCCTTCAAGTATCTCCCTGATGCTCACCCTCCCACTTCCAGCACCCATTGCTCATTAGCACTGGAACACTACAGGGACATCATGCACAACCTCTGTCATTTGGCAATAAAGGCAATGACCAGTTGCTCATGGTCTGGATAAAAGCCCTAGAAGGGCCAGTCCCAGCCCAGGGGCCATATGTTGGACACCTCTGGTCTAGACTACGTAAATGGCTATTGGACCCCTGCCCCCCGCCCTCCAGAGAAAAAACCCATCTCGCTGCCCTGCTCACATGAACAGCTTGGTGAATGGACAAAGACCAATGTTTAAATAAGAATGAAATATTTTGTGGCTTATCGGTGGAACTGGAGCAGCTGCTGTTGTTCCATGGCAGAGTTGTTTGCTTCAATGTTCCCTGATGAAAAACCAGCAGCAATATAATTGCAAAACACTGCCAGGCATTTTCAAAGCTTTTTTCTTTTATTTTTTTGATTGATGCCCATTGGAGCTGTTTGCCTCATATGCCCTACCTCATACATGGCCCATTAGGTTTGATAAGCCCATTCATAGCTCGTTCGAAAACCAAAAGATGCCAGGCTGGGTGGGAGAATAGTGCTCTTTTTGTCGTTCTCAGAATTGGGATGTGTAATAGTTGGGGGGAGGGGGGAGTTCAGCCATCTCCCGTTCTGCCTTTTCAGCAGAATGAGTTGCAATTTAATGACATCCCATATGTTCCTCTCGAAAGATGATTTTTGCAGATGATGTGTCATCTATTATCATGATCACTTTGAATTTAAATTTGTTGGATAAAGTGTGAAATATGGAAAATAAACCCTGCTTCCAGGGATAGGGGTTATTCATTAAAAACTGAAATCTGTTTAAATTGTGATAGGCTTTTCTCTACCTCCCAAAGGATTTCTTGTGAGATTTGTGTGTTGACATATCGGAAAGCTGATGTAGGGAAGATCCAAAATGAATATGTAATCCATAGGCATGTCTGGTTTTAATATTCCTATAGTTATTTAGATATTTATACCCCAGCTCACATTGTTCTTCCCTCCTCCATTTTATCCTCACAATACCACCTCTGTGAGGTAGACTGGGTTGATCAAACAGGCCTGGCTCAAGGTTATCCAGTGAGCTTCCATGGCAGATGTGGATCCAACCCCCAATCTCCTAGATCTTGGAAGAAATATGAAACTAGTTTAAACCTGTAGTGTGGATGCATCTCAGATTTTCATGTGGATAAGTTGCTGCTCAGGCCTGTCAGGCTTTCTTCTATTTATTTATTTATTTTTGGGGGGGATTTATATCCCGCCCTACCCATACGGCCCAGGGTGGCTAACAAGCGGCCACGCCGAGATAAAACATAGAATACATTAAAACTTCAATAAATACAAACTAAAATGGTGCTCTACAGTACATGGACCGGGTCCTACTTGGCTTGCCTGTGTGGCCTACCACTAACCTTCTCACCCATCAGCTGCAGAAACTTGGCTTTATCATTCTCTGACTCCTACAGACAGACCCACCCACAAGCTGGCCTTGAATCCTTGTTGGTACCACCGATGTTTTTCTTCCCACAGTTGGGTCATCATGGCTGCTATTTGGTTTCCCACAGAACAGGATTTATCTTCCTTGATCTGTCATTTTGATCCTCAGGAGGAGCTCTGGTATTTCCTCCAGAAACATCACGTGCACATCTAACCACTAAGCTTGATTTAATGCTCGATATTACACTGAAAAAGGGAACAGCAGAATGAGTTCCTCATATGTTCATTGCGTACTTTCCAGTAAGGCACAATAAAAAGCATCTTCTCTTCCTTAGGTGCCCATTCTACAGAGTTTGTTTTATGATCTTTAAGCATTTTCCATGACTCTTGCATATAAGTCTTTCCTCTACATCAATCTGTGTAGCCTTTCAGCTGTTTGGTGATTGTGAGATGAATAGAAATCAACTGATGTAGCTTAGGTAAACAGTGACTGCAGTTGATATTCTGATATGGCTGTTTGTTGCATGGCAAGATGAGATTGTTGAATACTACGGTGCCGAGGGTCACTCCTTATGATAAATTGCCACTTCTTTTGCCAAAATATAAGGAAATGGGGACTGGAGCCTTTCCAGTTGCTGCCTCTACAAATGCAAAATATCCGGGGGGGGGGGGGTTATCTTCAATTTGTGGCCAGGTTCAGAATTAGATAGACAGACAGACTTGCATTATTATATAATTGACTGTAAGACTTGATTTGTGGATGTTAGTTAGCAAAAATTTGATTTATTAATCCTCCCCGTTTGGTCTGTGTATAGATTCTATATTATTTTGTGTAGAGAGATAAGATGCTTAAACAAGATAAGATGAGCTGTTCCCATTATCTAAGCTTTAGTCTAAGTGTTCTCTTTCACCAGCAGGCAAGTGGCAATATATCAGATCTAGACATTTACTAGTCTCTAAATTCAGCCCAGAGGTCTATGGTGTGTCCACTTGACCCCAGTGATAGAAATAGTACACGTGGTAAGGCATCCCACTGTTTCCTGGACTGCGTCAGTTTGGTTAAATGACCTTGATAAAGTCTGGACAACATAATCTCAAGGGGGAGAGGTTTCATACCACTTAAATGTGAAAATATATAGGTAATTATTCCCAGTTCCACATTAAACATTCCTAGTCCGACAAAAATAGATATTTCACATTCCAGTCAACTGTTGGTGCTGTAGGTCCTTATTAATTAATTCAGTTCATATGTTCTGTGCTTGCAAGATTGTATATCTTTGGGAATCATTGTGGCAGTGTAACAATTTTTACTGGGAGTGATATTCTTTTATTCACCCTTACCGGGGGGGGGGGGGAGAGAATGCTGCTTTCAACCTATATGCACCACTCAACGTGGACATAAGCTTTGTATTTGGGTTCCCAAATGCAACAAGTATCAAAAATGACTCTAACCCTTGCTGTTGAACCAGTTTTGCACTGGTGTTTTCAACAGCAAAAATTCAACAGTGTGGTGTGGTCGTTACAGCACTGGACTAGGCCCTGAGAGACCAAGAGGAGGAGGTTTTTATACCCTGCTTTTCTCTGTCTTAAGAAGTCTTAAAGTGACTTACAATTGCATTCCCTTCCCCTCCCCTCAACAGGCACATTGTGAGGTAGGTGTCAGATCCCCGGTCAAGTTACTCTCAACAACACTCTCTTGGCAGTGATATGTTTATTGAGATATATGCATGATCCAGAACATCACTCATGCTAGAACTGGAGAATTTTGGCAGGCATATGCTTAATATAGATAATTCAGAGCCCCTTCCCTCTCTCACATACACACGTCACAAACACTCCGCCTAGCGTTGCCATCCCAACCAAAGGGGAAAATAATATGGTTTGGTTATCTACTGCTTACGCTGGCACCAAAAGGCTTCAAGGACACCTCTCCCTGGGAAGTGGAGAGGAGGTACATCTTGCAGGAAAGTTATGGCTCCTAGAAGCAGACAGTTCCCACTCATTCATCTTACTCACTCCCCTCCCCGCCCTACAGGAATTCCCTCCCTCCCAACACCTATGAGAAACGAAGCAAACAAAGTGAAGCAGGGTTTGACAGTAGGTGGGGCTGAGAGAGTTCTGAGAGAGCTGTGACTGACTCAAGGTCACCCAGCAGGCTTCATATAGAAGAGGAGTGGAGAATCAAACCTGGTTCTCCAGGTTACAGCCTGCCACTCTTAACCACTACACCACACTGGCTTGGATCCCCACTGTGCCGTGGAAGTTTGCTGGGTGGAGAATGCTGGGTGGAGAATGCT